TCAACTAAGTTCTACTAACACGAGACTCTAGATATATTGACATTATCTTTAATTGATTGTGTTGTACTTGAATCATAGATATGTCTTATGGACAAAGGCCTTGTTCTGTGGATATTTCCTTGACTGAAAGTTCCAACACCTGTTTTATTGGAAAAGAAGATGTACTAGAAGATTTGTCTGATTATAGCCGTTGTGGATGCTCCAACAACTATATTTGTTAAGCTATATAAAGAGTAGAAGATTTGAAGATCAACTCAAGAAATAACGCTGCAATTACAACTAAGAAATACACGCACTGCATATCAGAAGCAAATTTTGTTAAAAGTTCGTATTCTTGTATAGCTTAAGAATCCTTTTTACAAGCGTGTTGTATTTTATTTGAACATCTCTAATTATTAATCAAGTCTTAGACAATGTGTTTGAGTAGGAAAGTATTAGATTTAGCAGGAAAGTCTTAGATAGTGTGTTTGAGCAGGAAAGTCTTGGATTGAGGATCTGATCAGGAAAGTCTTAAGCAGTGGGTCTAAGCAGGAAAGCCTTAAACCAGGTGGTTTGAGCAAGGAAAGTCTTAGGATCTGAGGATCTAAGCAGAAAGTCTTGATTATGTACTGATTAAGCATGAAAGTTTTAGACTGAAGGTCAGAGTAAGGAGAGTCTTATACAAGTGTGTATAAGCAAGTGTAATCAAGTTGATTATAGTGGAAAATCTCTCGCGTGGCAAAGGGACTGAAGTACTCTCAGTTAGGAGAGGGACCAGAATAACTGTTGTGTGTTCTTTGTTGTTTTGCTTTACTTCGGTTTCATTTTCCGCTGCATTATTTATCAGATTATGAACTCAACTTTAGAATCCGAACTCTGGTTCTGAAGTAAAACTACTTTTGCAAATACAATTCAACCCTCTTTCTTTTGTATTTTTCTCACTTTCAGTCTATTAAGAGGAAAACTTCATCCTACCATATTTATTCTTATGGTTCAAGTACTTTTACCCATTAGGATATATCTATAGTCAAGTACTTCAATCACTCTAACAGTGTACTTTCATCATTACACTCAAGACTTAATGTTAATCAAGTGTGAGTTGAGTTTTCACTATCAATGATTAATTAGATATGGACTTGCCTTTAATTATATCCAAAGACATCATATCCTTTTCAATCCTTTCGTCAAAGAATTGCAAGATTTTCTAAACTTTAATAAATTTTGATTATTTAACTTTTTAACTAATCATGTATATAATTACTTTATGTACTATTGATAGTATTTACCATCTATCATCAAACCATGACACTTTTGTCATATTAGTACAGTTGTCATATACAATATATATTCTATATTCTTGATAGTTTCGATAAACTATCATCATGACACTTTTGTCCTCCATTTTGTCATATACACAAATTTTATGTCATTCTTCATTTGCTAACCTTTTTAATTTGAAGTTTTACAACCACTTAAATATATCTAAACTGTATTTAATGCATTAAATATTTATAGCAATCAACAACCATGATCGTACAAATTTGTCATGACTAACTTTTATTTTGTGAAATGAGTTCAAACATGTAATTTATAAACTCTATATAAATACAACACCATTGAACTTATTTCTATTCTTTTAAAATAAACAACTAGTAAAATTAACTTTCCATTGTATAGAGCATACATTTGGAAATAACTATTGAATGCAACATTGAATATATAAAGTATAAGTAAATGAAATCCAAATTGAAAGCATAATTGTTTGCATTGCATTGTAAGAAGTGGCTCTTAAAAGTATCCAAATTGAAAGCATAATTGTTTGCATTGCATTGTAAGAAGTGGCTATTAAAAGTATCCAACATATGAATAATACCAAAGTTATGAAGAAAAAAAAGTGCAACATCAACATGCCTTGCACAACATCAAAAAAATGTTACAAAAGTAACATGATTCTTCAATTTGGCATCAATTATTTCACTTGAAAACAAAATAGTTTAGGTTATATAACAAAACAATCATATGTAGAATTTAAAACTTTATGTTATTGAATAAATGTATACTATACCTATTAAATGCACTTGAACCACCTCCTTGAATACACAATTAAAAACACAAATGTTTGCATTGCATTGTAAGAAGTGGTTATCAAAAGGATCCAACATATGAATAATATCAAACTTACAATCAAAAAAATAGTGCAACATAAACATGTCTTGCACACCATCCAAAAAATGTTACAAAAGGAACACAAGTCTTCAATTTGCCATTAATAATTCCACCTGAAACCGAAATAATTTAGGTTATATAACAAAATTAACATATATAGAATTTAAAACTTTATGCTATTGAATAGATTGTATACTATACCTATTAAATCTTGTGAAAAACCTTCTTGAATACAATATTAGTGGTACTACTTGTTGCAATGTTGTCTTTGTCATGAATCAAAATTTTAAGACTTTCTTTAGTCTTAACTCGAGACATTGCGACATACAATTGACCATGACTAAAAATATCCTTTGGTGGATATAAACCCAGATTGTCTAAAAATTGCCCTTGAGATTTATTAATAGTCATAACAAAAGAAACAATAATTGGGAATTGTTTTCTTACCAATTGAAATGGCCACAGAGATTATGATGGAGACAAAGACATTCTAGGAATATAAATGGTGTTACCTAAATTTTTCCCAGAAATGATCTTAGCTTCAATGACATGATTAACAAATCTTGTCACAGTTAGTCTTGTTCCATTGCATAAGCCTTCAGAATGATAATCTTGTCACAGTTAGTCTTGTTCCATTGCATAAGCCTTCAGAATGATCCAAGTTCTGCATCAACGTAATAGTGGCACAAACCTTCAACTTGATGGTATGATTAGGCAAAACAGATGTTTTCAGAGCATTTAAAAATTCAGGGGTCAAGTGCTCAAAAACATCAAAGTCTGTAGCTGCAGATCTATCAACAAAATCACTACTAAAAAATTCTCTTTCTTCTTCTATAAAATTAAAACAACATAGCAATGACAAACAAAATTACTACAAAGTATAGTCTATAGTATAGTAATATCATTAAAATAATGAAACAACATGTTTAGTACCTCGAAGAAGATTTGTGATGTATTGATTAATCTCATCGACAACCTCAATTGTTGAAGCCAATATTGCACGACTTTGCAGATAATTGGGATCATGGTAATTATGAATGAGATCGAGATAAGTACTCTAAATAATAGCCTCAATAGGATTTGTAAAATTAGAAATTAGATGCTCATTAGGAATTGAAAGGTCTCATAACCGTCGTTAGGCTTATTTATGATACCATCTCAAATTTTCAAGATCCACTCTGAAAAAATGTGAACCTCTTCTTGGTTAGAATTATTTGCACCACTTTAAAGGCACATGTTTTTTGTAAGCCTGATGAGTTTGCACTCATCCCAAATATAAGAAGGATTGATTGTTACACGAATAAGATCATATATACTATCTTTTGGGACAACATGCAAAATTTGTCTAAAATCACCACCAAAAACTACTACTTTACCTCCAAAAAGCTTCTTTTTTGCTTGAGAAATTTTACTCATATTGTCTTTCAAAGACTTACCAAGAGCCTCAAAGCAAAACTTGTTTGCCATTGGAGCCTCGTCCCATATAATAAGATATGTCAATTTTAAAAGCTCAGCAAGATCATCCTTTTTGTCAATGTTGCAAATGGAAGATTTCAAAGTAGGGACATGAATCTTAAACCTTGAATGAGTTGTTCTACCACCTGGTAATAACAAACTTGCAATCCCACTTGAGGCAACAGGCAAGACAATTTTTCTTTTAGCACGAAGTGCAGTTATCAAAGTGTTCCACATAAAAGTTTTACCCGTCTCACCATAGCCATATAAAAAAACACTCCACCATTTTGTCTTTCTACAACTTCCATAATCTCAACATAAATGTATTTTTGTTCTCCTACCAATGTTGTGACACAATATTTAGCATGACATATGTTCAAAAAAATTGTATATAAGAATAAATGAAGTAAGACATCAGATAATAAATAAAAATAAAGCTTACATTGATATTTAGGAAACTATATCTTTATGAGATATAGAATAATTAATATATGTTACAAATAAACTACTAATTAAAACAATAAATAATTTGAGACAAATAAATATAATATCTAATTTGAGATTTTATAAAAAAAAATTAATTATTATGCATTTTTACCGTGTCAATTTATCAATATCATCTATTTACATTATTTTACATATTATTAAAATAAAAGTCAAAATTTTTTTTAAACTAACGTTTATAATTAACTCACAGCGTAAAATCTTTTTACAATTAAATCCTAAAAAAATCTACTTATTGTATGTTTATTTCCATAAAAAAAAACATTAAAAGCAATACAATAAAAAAAGACATTATTAAAAGTACACAAATTGTTTTTATTCTAAAAAACAAAATAGAAAAATCAAGAGACAGTTTGTTCTTGGATCGTTGAAGTTCCGAAAAGGCTACGAGGAGGAAGCCCCCAACTGCTCACACTCTTCTCTGAAATCAACCAATAGATCCGTTTCTTAAACCACCACGAACCCAAACTATTGGTGAGTTTCAATTTCGATTCCCCCAATCTTGTCCTTTAAGATTTTCACGCTTCTGTCAAATCTCTCGCACCCCATTTCGGAACTCGATTTGGTGTTCTTGTTTCGCTTTCGTTTTCGAAATTTCTCTTTCATCGCACAGTTCCTTTTTGTTGGGTAGTCAATTTTTGTTCCTATCGTTTTCCACCTAACAATTAATTCCGCAACTTCACCTTGCTGTTATGCTTTGTTTTGAGTATAAAGTTTCACTTCATTCTGAAATTTACTTGCTTTTGATTTGGGGTTGTGCAATTGTGTAAAAAGTTCATTTTTTTTGTTTATTCTTGTTATGTTGCTTGCAAGTTTATTTTGAAAATTTGTATATTTTGAATGCAAATTTGTTTGGTGTTTCAGATGAATGACGCGTTAACGACTTGTTGTTGAGAATGGAGGATTTAGCAGGTCTAGTTGAGGCAACAGGATCAAGATTTACTTCATTGGAGCTTATTGGACAGGGATCATTTGGAGATGTATATAAAGGGTAAGTGTTAGTTTTAGAACTGGTTTCATAATTTACTTTGCAAAATCAATCTGCCTCTGAGTGCTGAGGTAAATATAAGGAGTAGTTTTAAGTGTACATTGTTTATACAATTGGTTAGTTAGTACTAGTAGTCCTTGATGTAAGGCTTTCTTTGCTGTTGATTCTGCTGGTGGAATATTTTAGTTGATAATAATTCTGATTAATAAACCAATTTATTATGAACATTGTTGAAACTAGGATTCATATGTCTTGATCAATTTAAGTTCATATCCTTGAGATAGGCAAATAGGTTGCTGAAATGCTCGAGGAATCCCTCAACGTAATCAATTATGTGTGTGTCTGCGTGTCTATACAAATGTGTATGTATACAAATCACATCCACCAAACTTGTTATAAATAAATCATGTCCTGGCACCTGGAAGAGACATCGTGAGAATATCTTGAAGTTGATCATTAGAGTTGATAAAATCAATATCAATTTCCTTAGCGAGAACTTTTTCCTTGATAAAAAGGTGACTATTAATTGCTATATGCTTGGTTCTCTTATGAAAGATTGGGTTTGATGCAATGTGGGCAGTAGCTTGATTATTACAAACCCATGTTCATTTGATCTACATTGCCAAACCTCAGCATATAAAGTAACTCTTTTACCCGTGTAAGCTCACAAATTACCATTGTGATTACTCAATATTCAGGCTCAACATTAGATCGAGCAATCACATTTTTCTTTCATTGTTCCAGATAACTACCAACTAAGACAACATCCCCATAAACACTAAAGCATGTTTGTATGCAACAACAATTCATTGCAGCCTCAATTAAGATGATGATTTTTCCCTTCAGCCACTCCATTTTGTCAAGGTTTATGTGTGGATTGATGTAAGATGTCATGAGAGTACATAAATGACAAAAACTCATTTGCATTGTCACTCAAAATCTTTAATTTATTTGAATTTTAGTCTAGAAAGATTTGAATATAGAATAATAGTTCATATTAAATTTTGTAGTAAAAATAACCAAGTACATTGAGAAAAGTCATCAATAAAAGTAATATGATACATGAGACACTGCTTGGCTTTGAGCCTGACTAGAAAAGGAAGTATGAACATGTTTCCCTAGTTGACATGACTCACAACTTAAAGACTCTACTTTGTAGACATGTAAGTCATAACCATCTATTGATGCTTCGGTAGACTGGGATGACCGAAGCACTTTTGCTGATGAGGAAAACACGGAGACTCTATAGCAATACACATTACAAGGTGTCTGAGATGGCAGTGTTGACAGGAACATCTTCAGAAGAGCTTGTTACTCGAGGAGAGGGTTCCACTTCCTCACACTCTGAATCATATGCACTAATGCGCTATCTTTGATTGAAGACAATTTGAACCCAATTTATACGCATTAGAGAAGCGTGTACAAACCTTGGGGATCAAAGACCCTCTACCAATGCAAGACCAAACTGATTGAATGACCGCCAAAAGATGACAAGGAGGCTCAGGAAACTCAAACAGAACTTGCAGCTCAGTGATCTGGAAACTGGAAGACGGTGCGAGAAGATTACTTGTGGTTCCAGGACCTTATTGGCAGTCTCTGACTTTAGATGTGTTGGCGGTTGACAATTTGAGGTCGCTGGGTGGTGGACATTCTTTCCTTGACGACAGTGGCTGTTGGGATAGAAAGGTTCACATGTTAGAGGTTAGAAAGGTGTCTTAGGGTTTTATCACTACGGTGTGTCTGGGAAAATAATTTACTGAATTACTTGAAAAATCCATTGGCAAGGCACAATCAGTTGTTATACTTTAGTATTGGAACTACAAAAATAAGGAAACTATGGAAACAAATTATGAAAGCTTATATACTAATAAAACTTAATGTTTATAGAACTAAATAGACCATGTTCTCCTTAAGTAAGGAGGTACTCTCAGACTCTTACATTTTGCAAATTAAAACCTAATGTGTAGAGTGCAGTTATTCAAGTTCTGTTTAGTTTTCGTATCTGAGAACATAATCTTTCTTGTAAGGATGACGGAAAATAATATTCTTAAGCAAGTTTGAGGATATTGTTTCTAGAACTCTTTAAAGAAGAAAATATTAATAAAGGAATACATCGGAGGAACTTCAATAAGTTATTTGTTTTTGTTGTCACTTGTCATTGTAATAACAAACATGCAATTATCTGATCTATGGAAATATTTTTTGCTCTCCAAACCTCTTTACTTACCTTAAGTTGGACATGGGAATGAGTTGTTTATCACTTTGTTATACCATCTTATTTTCAGGTTTGACAGGGAGCTCAACAAAGAAGTTGCCATCAAAGTGATTGATTTGGAAGAATCGTAAGTTTGTTTCCCACCATCTATTATTTTCAAGAACGCTCCAATTCAAGGCAGTGAAAATATTGGCCACATTAGGGACACCAATCAGTTTTAAAATAATGAGAATCTTGAAATACATTGCAAAGCATTTTCCATTTTGTTATGAATGATTATGTGTCTAGCAGGATTTTGTGACATTCAACATTGGAAATTTAGCATGATTTCTCTGTTTTATTTATCCTTGTTGGGCCCTTTGTACGCGGAGGATGAAGTCCTGAAGCATTTGATAAAATAATATTCTCCCTTCATATATCTGATTATACATTAGTGCGGTAGCACTAAAAGCTGTAAAATTTCTTATGATTGTGTTCCAGCGATATGAAAACGGGTCCTTGTTGATAGGGTTCACTTTACAAGCTTTACTGAAGGGTATTCAACACCCTTAAAAAAAAAAAAAAAAAATCTACACGAGTCGTTTTTTTATTTTATTTTTTATTTTTAAAATAATTAATGAGGGAGTTGTGCTCTTTTTTTTCTTTCAAAAAGGAGCGCTGTTCTGCATCATTCTCTCCTCCACATTTAGTTGAAAATCAGATAGCACTATTTAAAGTTCTTTCACCTAAAATTTTCCCATATTCTATGTAGTCGTCCTCCTCTTCTAGGTTGAGGTTCGGTTAAGAAGTGTTGACTCCTTTAAGGAACAGGACTCCAGGTCAGTAGGCAAAAATTTGGCTGTGAAACTTTTGTGCCTTAGCATGTGGTAATCTTTGTCAGCAAGGTAAATTAAAAGGAATATTGTGTAGATGAAAAGTATCTAATACGTGCAGATATCATCAATAGGCTCCAATATCCACATATGAGTTAGTGTCATCCCTACAATAGGTGCTGGGATGTAGTAACAATTGTCTGATCCTTCTGCATCTATTCAATTTATTGTCTCTATGAAAGGCTAAACATTATTGATGGAAGATGGAAGTCTTTTATCTCATTATACAATGTTCATTTCATGTTAAGTTATGGAGTTTTGAACGCAGCAAAGCTCGTGAGCCTCATTTTGTAACGAGTTTCTAATACGTGCTTCTGTGTGTATAATGTTGTAGTTAATATTATCCTCGTAGTTTTGTTGTGTTGCACTCAGAATCCTTGTGCATTTCTTGCTAACTTCTTCCTAACTTATATTTCATTTCATTCTGTCCCTTTACAGAGAGGATGACATTGACGATATTCAGAAGGTATAATAATTGTATGGCATCACTTCTGGCTTCACATCTGATGTACCCAAATGATTAAATTTTCATATCTGTTTTAATGTTTCAGGAAGTTTCTGTTCTGTCACAATGTCGATGTCCATATATTACAGAGTATTATGGTTCTTTTCTCAACCAAACTAAACTATGGATAATAATGGAGTATATGGCTGGCGGCTCTGTTGCTGATCTAGTAGGTTACTTCTCTTTATTTCTTTTATATGTTCAGTGCATGAAAGTTGAAGTTGATGTTTGTTAGTAGACCTCCAATTACTAGTGTATATGTTAGGTGTAGGCCCAAGACCGAGTAAAGTAGGTCCAAATTATATAATGATCCTTTACACTAGTTCATGGTCCTCACGTGTCGCAAAATGGAAGCAAGATTGGAAATTTTAGAAAGGGCATATAAAGGTTTTGTCGCAACCAGAGAAGATTCATGAGATGCGCAATCTGATGGGAACTGAAAAATATGAATCGCAATGCCGAATTGACGAATAGCTTGAAACTGTCCTCGGTCTCACTATCTGAAATGACAACATAGACTATGGTACCCCTGCATATGGACAGAATCTCTGCAACTATGATGAAAAATGGAGGAAACTTACAATTCCCATCTTCGAAGGAGAAGACGCCACTGGGTGGATTAATCGTGTTGAACGCTACTTTGATTTAAGGGGGTGCAACTGACGAGGAAAAGATACATGCTTCCATGATAGCCATGGAAGGTAAAGCACTCACATGGTATCAATGGTGGGAGGTTTGTTCCCCTCACCATCTTGGGATGATTTCAAGGCTACTTTGATTAAACGCTTTCAACCGTCAGTGCTTCGAAGTCCCTATGGATCATGGTTGTCAAAATCGGGATCTCACTAAAGATCGTTGGGGTATGAAAAAAGCGTGAATTGTAAAATCTTAAATCGCATCGTAAGATCCCACAAAGTCGTAAAAAAAAATAACATTCACATAATTTTTCTTAATTAATAATGAAGAACTTTGTAAAAGGTATGACAGCGTTGCATAGGCACGTGTACGTACCTAGTACCCGGTACGGGTAGTGGTTGCATAGGTACGTGTACGTACCTAGTACCCGGTACGGATAGTGGTTGCATAGGTACGTGTACGTACCTAGTACCCGGTACGGGTAGTGGTATGGAGTACAACTTTTTTAGAAAAATTAAGATACTGGTACGTTAGTATAAATTTTAATACAATTATAAAAAATAACAAAGGAGTTATATTGTTTAAATGACAACAAAACATTAAAATTGAAAAACAACTTGCTTAAAAAAATTCATATCTGCACAATAATATAAATAAGTCACACTTAAAAAGTATCAATAAATCATGAAATCATGAGTAAATATCAATATTTTGCTTTCCAATATTATTAAAAAGAGCGACTTTTAGTTCAGGTTCATTGAGAGAAAGACTAGCAACTTCAAGAATATCAACTCTATCAAATAGATTTCATTCATCTTCACCAATATTCCACATTTTTGTTGCTCATTCATTATAAACCTTAATATTTCTTCAAAGAAGACGGAGATTTGTATGAACAAAAACTAAATCCTCAGCCCTCTTTGGATTGAGTCTATTCCTTTTTAATGAGCAAATAAATTCATACGTGCTTTAATTTCTCTCAGCAAATGAAGAAATTGATTGTGAAAGAATTTTTTTATTTGTAAATAGAATAATTAACTTAACAATGATGAGAGATGAAGAAGGAGTGATGACCATTTATAGAAGGAATGGAAGAATAGAATAGATGGTATCATTGAATAGAATGATATTTTTCAAATTGAAATTTTAATTAACCCTAATTCTCCCCCAAAAAATAAGCCTTGTAGAAAGGAATGGTTTCTGCCTTTTAATGCTGAAAACGGCCAAATTTAATCTGAAACGGGTCGCAGAAAAAGCTGAAACGGGTCGCCTTCCTTCAATGTGCGTTGGATCGTGTCGGGTCGAAGCGGGTTGAGCGAATTTTCTAACTGCGAGATAGATCTCTGCTTCCACGATTTCACGATCTTCCACTGAGCTCCGACCGCGCCATCTCCGGCGATCTTTGCTGCATGCCGCCGCAGAAACATGCGGGAAACTAGTAAGATCTTAAGATCTCACGATCTAAATCTAGATCTTAACAACCATGCTATGAACTTCTCCTTAGTCTTAAGCAAATGAGCTCTTCTCCTTAGCCTTAAGCAAATGAGCTCAGTGGAAGAGTATCATTATAGGTTTGAATTGTATGCTGACCCATTTAGAAGTGCAGAACCAGATTATCTTAAAGGGGATTTTTGTCAATGGGTTAAAAGGTGGGGTGAAAGCAGAATTAAATTACACTCGGTTACAACCTTGGCCGAGATGATGGATTTCATCTTGAAAATTGATGAAAAGAATGTCATTCTTTCGAAGGAACTTCATCAACATCCACTCTAAAACTTTCACCAAAGTTTACCCTTCTAACATTGTTACTTGGACTCCAACGACAAGACACTCAACACCAAAACAATGCCTATTACTGCCACAACAAAGACATCTAACCCAAAACCAGCAACCAAACATTGTCAACTTACTTTTATCTTTTGCTGTAATCTAGAAGAAGTATACATGGATTGTTTATGCGTATGATGTAGTCCTTAGTGGAGATGATATAATTGAAATGGGAAGAGTAAAAAAGAGGTTTGTTGCAGACCTTCAAGGACTTAAGATCCTTGAGATACTTTCATTGTATGAAGGTAGTTGTTTAAAGAAAGGAACTATGGGTTCATAACAAAAATACATTCTCAATCTATTGAGAGAAACATGAACGAGTGGTTGTCGGTTATTTGACACTCCCATAGATCCTAATGCAAAACTTTAGGGAGAAGGACGTGTTTGTTTTAACACCGGAAGGTGCCAAAGATTGGTTGGTAAGCTAATTTGTCCAACATTAGACCTGACATCGAGTTCTTCGTCAGTGTAGTGAGTGAGTTTATGCATTCACATTATGAGAAACATCTTGAGGCAGGTTACAGAATACTAGTGAATTATGAGGAACATCTTGAGGCAGGTTACAGAATACTAGTGAATTATGAGGAACATCTTGAGGCAGGTTACAGAATACTAGTGAATTATGAGGAACATCTTGAGGCATTATAAAGATTACTAGTGAAAGAAATGTGTCTATCTTCGCTAATGCAAACTAGACAGGTTCTGTTATAGACAAAAGATCAACCTCTGAATATTGTATTTATGTCTGAGGTAATTATGTTACACGGAGAAGCAAGAAAACAAGGGTTGTATCAGGAAATAATGCAGTAGCCGAGTTTTGGGCTTTAGCTCAGGGTATTTGTGAAGGAGTATGAATTCAAAGAGTTATGGAGGAACAAAAGATGAAACTAGAGGTTGGAATCATATGTCCACCGTTTTGTGTCCTCTAGTCAATAAACTGCGGATATCTTAACAAAAAGCTTGACATGACCTGTCTTTGAGCATTTGATAAGCATGTTGAACATGATAGATATCTATGGACCAATTTGAGGGAGAATCTCGTAATTTTCTCTCCTTTCATTAGTGAAGATTTTGTATTTTATTCTGTTTCTACTTCAGTAAGTTTCTCCTTGATTCAAGAAAGAATATTAATTGTATTCTTCTATTTAGACCAACCTTTGGTTAAAGAATAAACATAACAATGTTCACCCTATTTCTTTCTACATATTCTTATCCATGGTACTCTTGAATATAATATTCTCTATTTATTAGCTGGATATTCTCTATTTATTAGGATTGATATGATTTCCTTATTTTCTATTTTTCCTTTCTTGAGAGGTTCTCTACAACAACCAACAACCACCAAGCCTTATTCCACTTGATATGATTTCCTTATTTTCTATTTTTCCTTTCTTGAGAGGTTCTCTACAACAACCAACAACCACCAAGCCTTATTCCACTAAGTGGGGTCGGCCACTCGGGTCAACTTTCGCCATATCTTTCTTAATAACTTTTTTATTTTTTCCTTTCTCGAGAGATTCTCTCTTGTATATAAATTGCCACAACCTCATTGGAGAATATATGAAAATCATTCTATGTTAATTAATATGGCATCAAAGTCTGGTTCGATCCAGGGACCTCTGGGTTATGGACCCACCACACTTCCGCTGCGCCACTCTGATGCTTTGTCGACTTACCTATTGCTCTTTGTAAAGATAAGCAGTCAACTTCAAATCTACATCCTATTTATAATTGTTTGCAAACTACACAAAGCCATCATATAGTCTAAAGCAATCACCTCGAGCTTGGTTCGGAAAATTCAATAAGGTTATTCAACAATTTGGCATGATTCGTCGTGAAAGGATACCATTTTGTATTTTTTTAACGCTCATCTTTAAACAAAGTCATTTATCCTGTGGTATATGTAGATGATATTGTTATTACCGGTGACGATTAGGAAGGCATTAAAGACCTAAAGCAACACTTATTCAATCACTTTAACACTAAAGATTTAGGTCGATTACGTTATTTCCTTTGGATTGAAGTAGCTCAGTCACAAGAAGACATTGCTTTCTCAGAGAAAATATGTTCTCGATATCTTGGAAGAGACATGGATATTTTTAGTAAAACCGGTTGATACTCCTATAAACCCTAATGCAAAGCTTCTACATAATCAGGGGGAGCCATATTCTGACCCAGGCAAATACAGAAGGTTAGTTGGAAAATTAAAATAATCTCACAATGGCTAGACCAAATATTTCATTTGCTGCTAGTGTTGTGAGTCAATTTATAAATTCACCTTATGATAACCAGTGGAGTGTTGTAGTTTGGATCTTGAGGTATATTAAAGGGTCACTTGGAAAAGGGCTTGTTTATTCAGACAGTGGTTATACCAGTATTCTGGGATATTCAGGTGCAAATTGGGCAGGTAATGTGAATGATAGATGGTCTACTTAAGGTTATTGTATTTTGATTGGAGGAAATTTAATTTCATGGAAAAGTAAAAAAGCAAACAGTTGTTGCAAGATCAAGTATAGAGGTAGAGTACTGTGCTATGGCCCATACTACTTGTGAACTCTTATGGTTGAAACACTTGTTACAAGAGTTGAAATTTTGTGAAATAGGTCCAATGGAACTTTTGTGATAGTCAGTCGTCGGCGTTGTATCTTTCTTAAAATCCGGTTTTTCATGAGAGGACTAAGCACATAGAAGTTAGTTGCCACTTTATTAGAGAAAGCACCCTTTCTGGCATCATTACAACCTCTTCCGTGAGCTCAAATGATCCGTTAGCAGATATTTTCACGAAATCTCTACGGGGAGTGTTGAATATTCTCTATTTATTAGCTGAATATTCTTTGTTTATTAGGACTGATATAGCTAAATATTCTCTATTTATTAGGATTGATATAGTTTTCTTATTTTCTATTTTTTTCTTCCTTTTTGAGAGATTCTCTCTTGTATATAAATTTCCGCAATCTCATTGTGGAATATATGAAAATCATTCTGTTATTTAATTGGTACCATATATGTTTTAAGTATAACCTTATGGCAATAGAATTTATAGACATGTTGGTTGATTTAGTTTCGATGACTTGTACATTTTGGAATTTTTCTTATTAAATTTTCTATAGTAGAAAACCAAGAAGCCAAAACACTAGGCTTGAATGTCGTATAAATATTTCAACAGAAATATTTTAGAATAAAATATTTCATTCATTCTTTCCTTTTTTTTCTTTTTTTTTCTCTCTTTCCTTTTCTGTACATATGTGCACGATGATAACCTATCTTTAATAGGACAACATTTAATTTCTGTTCTCTTTATTCTTCTGATTATCATTTATTTTTCTGCTTGCCATTATTAATATTTTTCTACGCATGTTATCATCAATTTTCAGTATGGCTGTATGGTGTTTGTTTGCTATTATTTGGAGTTAATACTGGTTTTGCTTCTGTAGCTCCAATCAGGACCTCCCTTAGATGAAATGTCAATTGCTTACATTCTTCGTGACTTGTTGCATGCTGTTGATTACCTACATAGTGAAGGAAAAATCCATAGAGACATTAAAGGTATCGACAGTAATCCTTCACATTGGTTTTGCTGTACTTTTAAAGTTTCTTTTCTTTCTTCCATATTCTGTGACAAAATTATAGGGTTTAGGTGGGATGGGGAAAGGAATGCTCTACAATCATAATAACATATTTGGATCTGAGTTGTGCAACATTTCCTCACCGTCCAAAGTTATATGGACGTGATATTATTATCGAAGCTATGGATTGTAAACTCAAGTAGATGTGCATTTTCACTGTATTTTAATAGTTTTCGGAACACACTAAAACTATCTTGATATTTGTGTGAATGATAAGATTCAAAAGTCAGGACTGAGTTCTATTTTCCCTAATAAAAAACTACTAGTGAGAATCACAAAAATATAAAAAGAAATATAGAAACTATTCGTAAGAGTCCTACTATGTTACTTGCTACTATAAACTATGCAAAGGTATAAGTAGTTCTTAAAGCTTAGGCCACACTCACTTTACGAGCTAATTTTGTGGGGTTAAGAGTTAGACCTATCGTCAAATTTCTAAAATTGTATCTAAGCCTATCTAGTGTTGTTAGTGGGCCAAGATCTATTTTATTCTACTTGTCATTAGCGTGAGAAGGTGTCAAGACCAGGTTATTCCACCTGTATCAGTCCAGGATATATGTTGAGAGTCCCATTTCGATATATGACCTAAGTAGCGCTTATAACTTTATAAGGCTTAGATAATCCTCACTTTAGAAGCCGACTTTGTGGGGGTTAAGTTGGGTTGAAACCTAAATTTTAGAAACAGATTGTATATACTATCAAAGATTATTAATCCTAATTAAATAAAAAACAAATTCTGAAAAATAAAGGATGAGTAACTGAAACGAGAAAAGCCTAATGGATATTGGTGAGCGAACTGGCAAGTTGGTTAGAGGGAGAGAGAGGAAACACTTGTGGAATAGGGAGATGAGAGAGTTAGTCTGTTTGTTAGTTTTGGCTTAGGCTTGGGCAGAGGGGATACTAAATTCCTCTGAGGAGCTTTGCTCTTGTGTTACGAGAGAGATCCTCTTGCGATACATTTTATTTACTTTCAATTAAAAATAGAACCTCTTTGTACATCTTGATTCGGATTGCTATCAGAATCTGTTACCAATAGATGATTTAATAGATGAAAACTTCTGTTGTCATGGAAATTTTCTTTTTACATTTTTACATTAACTTTCTAGTTGACATCATTTACATATCTATTATGCAGCGGCAAACATTTTATTGTCTGAGAATGGTGATGTAAAGGTATGCTTTATTCTGAAAGAGCTTATATGTTATAATTCCTATTTGTGTATTTCATGACCTATGCATGTGAATTTTTGTAAAATGTTACCAGGTTGCAGATTTTGGTGTTTCTGCACAGTTGACAAGGACTATATCAAGGAGAAAGGTAAACATACTTCATCAAGGTTAAATCATTTATTAATTTAACATGGATGGGTTATTGTTATAATATTTTGTGCCTCTCAAGAGCACAAAATGTCGCCTTTTTCAATTGGATAGTCAATTCAATGTATAGACTCACCAAATGAAAGAAATGTGGTGCTAAACATTTCCTGTCTTGGTGTGACATGAGTTCAGAAAACTGAATGTCAAATTACTGGTTTTATTAATAGATTTATATTTTTTTGTCATTACTCATTACTAGTCACTATATCTAATGCTTCTTACAACAAAAAATAGGTGGAAATTTAAATCATTACTTTTCATTTTTGACTGGATATTCTAATATATTTGATAACAACAGACATTTGTAGGAACACCATTCTGGATGGCGCCTGAGGTTATTCAAAACACAGATGGATATAATGAGAAGGTTGTAATATAGAGTTTGACTATTAGTTTGTTATGTTATTCTTTGGTTCTTTGCTTCATTTTTATTTTCTGTCACTGTTCCCTAAACTTATTTTTGACCCTTAAAGTCATCTTTGTAATTCTGTTTACGCAGGCAGATATCTGGTCTCTGGGGATCACTGCAATTGAGATGGCAAAGGGGGAGCCTCCACTTGCTGATCTTCATCCCATGAGGGTGCTTTTCATCATACCCCGAGAAAATCCTCCGCAGGTTGTTTTGTTCAATCTTAGACAAATCAATCTTTCTAGCTTTGAACTATCTGAAATCAGCAAAGTTTTCAAAGTTGAGATGTTTGGAAAATTTTCTGTTTTTATCTCACCTTTTCACACTGTATTATGTTCTAATGATTAGTGCGATTTGTAGTTTTCATCATTTCTTAAATAAATATTTGAAAATACTATACAAAATGAAAACAAACGAAAATTTCTTATTATTACTGAAAATAGTAAATGAAACAATGTCTTTTCTCAAACCAAATAGATCTCTCTTTTGTATTTATTTATTTATTTTTAGTATAAAATGGTTGACATTTAATCTTCTATTTTTGCAGCTAGATGAGCATTTTTCTCGCCCCATGAAAGAATTTGTTTCATCATGTTTGAAGAAGGTTCCGGCTGAGGCAAGTGTCTGTGCTTACATGTAGTTCTCATATATTTGCTCATGAACAGGTCCTGTCTTATGCTTTAATTTGAGCGATATGTTCACTGTTGTCAATTCTATGAGAACATCCTATTTTGTTTTATCATGCTTGTTAGAGGATAAGGTTTAACTAACATTCAGTTAGTTGAAATCCTCCCAGTTTTAGTTTAAATATCTTATTGTGCTCTTAATATACATTTACTGTACACTATCTCTGTCTAACTAATCCCTAAATTATAGGAACTAACTAACGGAAAGTTAGTTAGAACACTGATCGATAAATAGATCCATTCCTTTGTAATTGAATCATAATTCAGAATATCAAAAAGCTACAAAGATGGAGTCTCTCTGTTCTCTCGAATCTATTAACAATGCTTCACAAGAAATACAATTAAAATATTTAGCTTTTCATCAGTATAGTGTGCATTCTAATTTAACAAGAACCAGGATACTAGAATTATTTATGCTGTTGAAATTTGTGACTGTTAACTTGAAAAGATGTATTGCTTATTTTCCTTAATTAAAGACTTTTTAGACTAGGCTTGAATTGGAACTAATGAAGTTGTTCTCTCTCTGCAATCTCTTATTTTCTCCCTTGAAATGATTTCAATTCCAGAGGCTAAGTGCTAAGGAACTTCTCAAAGACCGTTTTATTCGGAATGCTAGGAAGAGTACAAAGCTTTTGGAAAGAATAAGGTGTGGATTATTGATGAATATCTTTGCTATATTTAAGTTAAAAAATTCTACCCATTTTTGCTTTTGGCTATTTTTTTTTCTTTTATTTATTCTGAAGTGGTGGATCTCAAATAAAAAAAATGCTGAGATCCCAAAGTAGCATAGGAAATCCTTTTTCTGTGCATTATTTGCAATTTTTTTCATTTGAAAGTTACAATATTAGTCCCCATCTTGTGGTTCTCAAGATCATGCCTTGTGGTTTCACAGTAGGGATCGTCCAAAATACCAACTTAAAGAAGACCTGGAGACAGCTAGAAATGGCTCAAGAGGGGTTGGCGAGGCATCAGATACTATGAAAGTGGCAAGAGATTTTAGAGTTGAAGAAAATAATCGACCTAGGTTAGTTGTGAGACTATTGGCTACTGGTTTTTTAATTTTAAAAAATGATTTTTTATTAACAGTTTGTAATGTGCAGCAGTCAGGGTAAAACCCAGAAAAGTTCTGAATGGGACTTTAGCATTGGTGAATCAGAGGGTACTGGAACCTTTCGAAGTGTTTCACGGCCACCTCAGTCTAGAGATAAGAAAACTGAAGTTTCATATAATCAGGTTACCCAAAAAAAAGCTCTAGATGCTGGCTATCAAGCGGGGTATGCCAATAGAAGTGCACCCAATCAATCACTTGAAAAAGATCTTAGAGCTCCTTACCATCATGAGCACTCGGATAATCAGCTTGAAGATGTAATTAGTTCTTACTATGCGAATCGGTCTATGTTACAAAATTTAACTTAATCAAATGATTAATATATTGAGCTGCCATATCTCTAAAGGGGAAACTCAAGGTGTTTTTGATATATTTACAGAACATTGGATATATTATTAAGCCTTATAGCCTGAATTATTACTACCTGCTGAATTTTCGATAATTCAAGCTGAAACTCTATATTATTTTTGTCCATCTTATGTTGCCACCCACTTTATCTGCATAAAGAGTATTCAAAGTGTCTGTGGTAGTGTATAATCACTAAGAGAACTCACCTTGTCAAACCGCATGTGAATGAATGTGTTGTGTCAATCACGAAGTAAAAATGGATTTTCTATGACTTGATGATGTTTCATTTTGAACAACCAGGAAACTCTTTGATCTTCTGAAATATTGATTTGCAGGATGAATCATCTGGGAATGGATCAGGAACTGTTGTTATACGCTCTCCCAAAGGAATATCAAGGCCATCTGTGTTTCGTGACCATAGCTCCCAGGTAATATTCAAGCTGAGTTTCTTTAAAAAGAAACTGGTTATTTATTTGTGCAGTCAATGGGAATTTTAAAGCATTGCTGTCTAGCAGCGTCAGTTTCTGTTCCATCTTGTGTTGCCACCGGTTTTTTATCATACACAAAAAATGATTAAAATGTCTGGTGGTATTATCATATAGAGTTAAATCTTAAGTGAATGAGTTGTGTTGAAGATGGTTTTCAAACAAACTCGAAAGAGTTTCATTTTAAACAACCATTAAATGCTTTGCTATTCTGAAATCTTTGATTATCAGGATGAATTGTCTGAGAATGGATCAGGAACTGTTGTTATTCGATCTCCGAAAGGATCAAAGCCATCTGTGTTTCGTGATCAGAGCTCCCAGGTAGCATTCTAGCTGAGTTACTCTGATGAGAAACTGGTTATTTAACTGTGCAGTTACTTATTGAGAGTTTTTATGCAATGTAGTCCAGCAGCAGCTATGCTTCTTTTGAAGATACTTCCACTAGTGGAACCGTTGTTGTACGTAGCCAGCATGATGATTCTGATTCTCCACGGACTCCAAGGTCCCGACTAGGACTTCATGACAGAAGTTCAAATGCATCACTTGAAGATAGTGCTGCAAACCTAGCCGAGGTTCTATTCTTTTGTAATATAAGCTGTGATTTCACTTGTGAGTTGATCAGTGTGCGGCATGACAAGCCTTCCCCCCTCCCCCATTTCTTGCGTGAGTCTGTTTGCACGATACATTTGATGTATTTAAAGAACAGTCGTCATTGCGTTTTACAATTTCCCATTTTATACTCTTGTTGATTTTTTTTTTTCATTTTTTCTTGTGCATATTTAGTAGTTTATCATTATAGAAAACATGTTTGTGATTAATTCTTGGTCAGATTGGTATTGCGTATAAATAGCGTGTTCTTACCTCTTCCTCTTTACAGGCAAGGGCTGCTATCCAAGGAGGGTTAAGAAAAGCGAATGCTCGGGAGAAACATTCCCGAGGGAAAATCAATACCGATGTACAGGAAAGCAAAAGAGACCAAATGACTAGCAGCACTGATTCTTCCAGGTACTCCTAGCAACATTGGTTAAAAAAAATTCATTTGATGTAATAAAGTTTCGAATCATTTGATTGTAAATTACTAAGATTTTTTTATAGATCATATCGAGAATACATTGATGCACAAAGGGGCAACGTAAGATCGCATCATGCCAGTGATGATGAAGAGAGTGCTAGAACGAAATCATCGTCAGCGTCATTATCAAGTTTGCTTATTCCTTCATTAAAAGAGGTGAAACCATACATATATTTAAACCATACTCAGCTTTTTAAATATGATATTGTTGTAGGATGTAAGTGTTGGTTATGTAAGGCATTACTCATGTTTTTGTTTGCCCAGCAGGCCGTTGCTGATGATCCAGAAGGGCAAATTGTGCGGGCAGTTATCAATTCTTTAGTAAACATGGAAGGAGCAAAGCCTAGATCCTCTGATGTTCTTGTAAAACAATTGCTTCAGAGACTAGCAAGGTTCGTTCGCCTTCTACTAATGTTTGTTAGAAAAACAATTTACAGTAAACAAACGTATCTCTCTCTCATTCTTGTTAGTGCAGTTCCAAGGAAGATTCATTGAAGGACCTGAAAGAACTGGCAAGCCAACTATTCAGCAAAGGCAAGTCAACGGAAGAAACGCTAAATGCAGAAGCTGAGAACCGAAGGAAACAGCATAACAAGGAACCTCATCCAAATAGCAACTTAAGCCCTCTTGCAAGATTTCTTCTATCAAGGTTCTTGAAGTTACCATTTTCTCTTTGAATAATCTTACAGTATATATAGCTTGGAAAATGCTTGTGAATAATCTCCGATTCTTTGTTTCACAGATGGCAAGGCCAAACCTCACGGGATCTAAACCAATCTTGAGCCAAGTTAGAAGTTACTATTTTTGTCATTTTTGTGTGTGGTTTCTGTTGAATAATTTATTTTGATTAAATGTACATATATATCATTGTAACAAATTGCTTCTCAATTTCCTATTAGTATCATTGTTAATCAATTTGTTTTTCTCTTAATTTAATTTTCTCTTCATAGTCATAGGGACAGTAGTTCTGTATAATTAAGATTTTCTCAGTAACATCTATATTGTAACAGACTTCATTGATTCTTATTTTTCAATAGTTGTCTCTTGGAATAGCTTATCTAAAATTGCTATAAGTTCTTGAAAAAAAATATATATCAATTTTGGGTTGTTCTAAAATAATATAACTCAACTTTAAATAAAGTGAATCTAACTTGATGTCCAGTGAGAAAGTTTTCCATTTGAGTGAACCTCCGGTTATTTTATTTGAACCTATTCATTTACCTCTCAATATTCAGAAACTCAATTTCTCTGTAGAAAAAACAAATTTTCAATCATTCATCATCATTTATTATCAGGAACACTAATCTGACGTGATTCTTCTAAGAGATCTATTCATAGAAGTAACGGTGTTGTTGCTTTGTCAAATCATGGAGGTGGAACTGATGTTGATGTTAGTTCATTCGTTAACTAAATAATAATAGTTTGTATAAAAGACTAACACGAAACATTAATTAAGAATGCGATACTAATTAAGCCTTAAATCAAAATGGAACAGTTCAAGAATTATTTGATATACTATAACTTTTGTGTAGCAGCAAACATCTACTGCTTCACTTCAAAACTTCACACTAGAACTTATGCAAATACAGACAAAAATCACATTATAAATCAATACAACAAAGAAACATAAGACACATGTATTCCCAAATGATTTTTGCACGTTTGTTCACTAAACATAAGGAACAAGTAGTCTCTGTGAGTCAGGCCCAGCTACCATATCATCCCATACCAAATCCGAAAGTAACATTGTTAATTCTCCAACCTTACCTGAAAAAGCAAAGACAGTTGAACAAGATAATTCAGAGTTCGACCGAAAAATGAATCGATAATAATGTCAAACAAGGATAGATAGATAGATTCTGTTACTATCTTACCATCACCAATTGGTTGATCATCCCACATGATGATAGGCAGCACAGGAAGAGTGCTACCTACATACATCATTTCAGCAGCACCTTTAGCTTCATCAACTGTCAGATTTTTAGTAGTTACACTTTTGAGAACACCCTGATCAACCAACTTTGGTGCAAGTTCAAGAAGCCTTTTAGCAGTGCAACCAGATAATATATTATCAAAACAAGGCATAACAAGTTCCTTTTCTCGAGTTACGAAAGCGACATTCACATTCGGTCCTTCAGCGATATAACCAGCCTCATCAATCCATATAGAACTAAATGCTCCCTTCTCTTCAGCTTCCAATACCGAAAGTACATTAGGAAGATAGTTCACATTTTTCATTGTGGCAAAGCTAGGTGCCTTCATTGGTACATTTGAAGTTATCACTTTGACACCTTCTTTGCACTGAGAAAAATCATGGTCAATGACTACTGCATAGAATGCAGGTTTTGGACATCCTGATGATGACAGCAAGAAGTCACCAGGACCTGCACTTAACCAGTATCTTAATGTTCCTTTCTTGCATTTTGACACCGCAGTTAGTTGGATTAGAATGCTTCGAAGAGTCGATCGCGAAAAGGGAGAGGATATCTTTGCTTTGGAAGCCGATCTTAAGAAACGATCAAGGTGAACATCCAACTCATAGAGGTATCTTGAGAAAACAAACAATATAAACACCAAGATAAGAGAAGTAAGTAAAGTCTGACAAAAAATGATCAAACCAGAAGTCTAACTCGGATACTACCCGGTCGATTCTAAAGAAAAAAAGAACTATTACCCTTGTAAAATAATAGCAGTATCAAAGACACCATGGCCTCTATGTACCATGTGATCATCTATGGGGATTACCATCATTGCTGGATCAAGCATGATACCTCCATACACACTAGAATACATAGCTGGATATGGTTGTTTCTCCACCGAACTCCATGTTTGATGAAGCTTTTCTAGTAACTGAAGAATTAAAAGCCAATGAAAAGTGCAAAACTTTAACTGAATGATTGTATTAGGTAATCAAAGATGGTAGAAAAAAACGAGGCTTAAAAACTACCTCAGATGATGAAGAGAACACATGAACCTTAAAATCAATATCAGTTTCAATCTCTGGTACAACACAAGAAAGAAAACAAAATTTAACAAAAACAGATACAATAAGAACACTGTAAATTCAAACTTTGAATAGGATAAGAAAAACTGACCAGAGGATGCAGTGGGATTCCCCATGAAACTGTGTATAGTTTGTGTAGAGCTACAATGGTAGAGAAGGAATGGTTGTGATGGTGATATAGTAATTAATAGGAGAAAAAGACACAGAAGAACGTGACACGAGGGGTGGTTTTAATTATTGTATGTTTTGTTTGTTTGTTCGTTTGTTTTGGTTTGTTGAAGACGGATTGAACTGTTTGTTGTGTCTGCTTTCGAATATTTTGATTGGTGTTATCCGATTCGTCACAACCGTCTCACGGCTTTTAATATTTTTTTTTTGAGAAAAGAATCTGAAAGTGTAACTTATCAAACACTTGTAAGACGTATTTTAAGGTGTAAAGCAAAGATTTAACACCGTATTGAGAAATTCTCCAGTTTTGTCAACCGTATTTAATACGTTTTCTTAACATTTTTTCCCACTAAATTGAAATGAGAAAATAACATGTGCATTTTACATCGAGATCTAATCAACAAATTGTATTTTACGTATCACACTCTAATTTTTAACCCTAAGATTTCATCTCATTTGTATCATTTTGCATAGCATACATCATCTCATGTGTGTGTTTTTATTTATTCACTAACCCCTTTAAAATACAAAAACATGTGTTTTATTTTCACTCTGATAATAAGCTAGGGTTTTGCTCTCAAGAAGATCAAGAGTTTGACCAGTCAAACGATGAGTGATCCTCAATATTTCAAGCCCTAATTCATTCGACATTGATCAAGGGTCTCCTCTTACCAATAATCAAGTGCGAGATTGCATTGAATCAAGATCAACAAGCCCCAAGTCATTTGGTGCACCCAAATTAGAGTTTTGACCCAATTCAGTCATTGGGTTGACTTTTGGAGCAAGACATGATCCAATATCTCAAGAAATGTTTCAAGGACCTCAAACGAATCATATTAGTTTATTCATATGATTGAATTGATCCAAGAAATTTGATTCATGAGCAATTGAAGAAAATCAAGTTCATTTGGAAAAAGTCAACTGTGATTAAAGTTAGATTTGACTTTTGAGTTGGTCAAACATGGACTCCACAAGTCAAGGATCATGAAAATATGTGAATTGGACCATGATCAATCAAGAAAATCAAAGAAAACATTCAAAGATCATGATTTGGAAAATTAGGGTTTCCTTAATTTTTCTAAGTTATAAAATTGCATGATTTTTGCCCAACTTTTCAAGCTCATAACTTTCTCCTTAAGCAACCATTTTCTTTACTCTAAATATCAAATTGAAGGTCTTCTTACATACTTCAACTTTGTCATGGGGGGTGAATTCCAAAAAATACATGGATAAAGAGATATGAGGCCATGAAGTGGAAGATCCATTCACTTTTGAACAAGAACACTTTTAGAAATTTTTTCAACAATTCTGCCAATGTCAAGTAGCTAACTTTGCAAGCATTCTTCACCATGATCCTAATTGAATCAAGAAAAGTGGTCAACATGAAGGTTTTAGAGGATGTTTCAAGCTTTTCAAAAAGTTCAAGATCACAAATTTATCATGCTTGAACTAGGAGTTTCGAAGACATGAAGTTGACATCTCCAAGATGAATTCTAGGTCACTCCATGGTAAACCTCATGATCAAATCTTTAGCCAAAGTTACATGATCTTAATTTGCAGGCCATCTTGCTTCTTAATCTCAACATGATCATATGATTACACAAGTCTTTGGTGCATTTCACAAATAATTCAAGCTTTGTCCAAAGCTTGATGCCATTTATGGAAGGTTATGCATAAGGCTTCATATCCATTATTGTAAAGTTTTCTTTTTGCCAACAACTTGTGCATTGAGCTTCTAAATTATTTTCTGTGATCTCACTTAGTCTCTAATGCTCAGAAGCAATCCCTAAACCTTAGAAAAGCATGGCTATCTTTCTCATTTTACTCCACCACTCCATCATGTCCAAACATGGTAACTTGTGCAATTTGAAACCAAATCTCCAAACCAGAATTCCTTTTGAACTAAACTTGAATTCTGCAAGTTACATGAAGCCTCTAAAATAAGAGGATCAAACCTCAGAACATGACACACTTGACAACACTTGAACTTGGATAGAAAACCAGGATTTGCATCAACCTCATTGTTGCAAAAACTTTCATTCCGCAAAGCTTGTTAAAACACTCCATAACCACAAAACAACCAAACCACCTATCCACACACACCACAAATCATATACCAAAGCCGTTCAAGCCATCTATTTCATAAAAAAACCCTCAGAATCCAAAAGTTAACCCCTAACACAAAATTTGTTGATTTTCTGTCAAAAACATCCTAAATCTTCATCCAAGCCATTTCCATTCAATTTAATCCATCAAACACCCTCCATAAACATTACACAAACTGTCCAAAGTGTTGTTTTACATCTGTAACATCATCTTCATCAAAATTCAAATTCACACATTATCATTTTGCAAGAGGGATCGTGTCAAGAGTTTGAAGCTGTTTCAATACAAACTACACATCCTAAAAGCATCTAAGGGGATTAAGAAGGCTTTTTGAATCATCAATCATCTTCTGGAATTAGTGAAAGACGCATTGAATATTGCTCTAATAGGTAAGTTCACCAAGACTTGAAAATCTATGATTCTGGTATCATCTTCATTCATCTTAGTTACAAGCATGCTTGCCATGATGTAGAGAGTATTTACCCTATGTCAATTGTTCTTAATCATTGTTGTATGTGAATTTACTTTGAATTCTCATATTAGGGTTCTTTCTGGTTCGTGTCTGTTTATTTTTTATGTGTTGAAAATTAATAATATTAAATGGTATCATCATGATCCTCATTAAATTCTGAACAATTTTCATGTTTACATCGCGCCATTTCATTGAGTATTGAGAGAGATAGCATTTCCAGAAATTTAAAACTGGTTGAAGTTCAAGATGAAGATGAAGAAGAAGATGGCGCGTGATTTCATCATTTGAAATTGTTTTATTATATTATTGTGTGTTTGCAAATTAATTCCTGAGTAGACATTGCACCATATTGGTCATTGAGTTTGTGTTTGAGTGTGTTTGCATGTACAAGGTCCGGGGTTCGAATCCCCCTCGCCTTAAACCTTTTGCATTTTATATATTTTTGTATGTTTTCAACTTAAAACTTCACATATTATCTGGCACACGCGTTACATATACACTATGTAGCACATGGCCTAGTGTCTAGTCTTTTAAGCATTAAGCATGATTTTTTATCACTTGGTCACTTGTTCTCTTTCTTCATGATTATTTTCTCATTTTTTCTTTTAACCATATCTCATGCTCCTTTCATCCTTTTGAGCTAATTTTTTGCACACTTTCTATTTATCATAGTATTTTACGAATGCATGAAAAAATACCAAAAAAATTATTTATTTTGTCCATTTTTATTATGTTGAAAACTTGTTGTTTTTATGTACTTTTAGGACTTTTCATGCTTGTACTTGAATTGATTCCTTATCCTAATGAATCATAAATGTTTGTGTGGTCATACCATGACTTATACCATGCTTAAAAGGTTGTGACTTTGTTGTTCATCTTGATTAAATGTATGAAATTGTTAACACGCTCACAAGTTTCCAAGTATGCTTATATCTCCTAGGATTTATGATTGATTTTGTACTTAACATGCCCTTGCTTCTCTTCTTGTGTGTATGATGATTCCCTTTTAGGTTTGAGTGTTGTTTTCACCATGTTCATATGATTCTTGTCTCACATGAATTCATACTCGTATACTTTAATCCATGAATTTCATTCTTGTGATGTTCATTTTGTTTTTCAAGCATTTCCTTCATAAACTTCCACAATGTAAAACATGTCTCTTTCTTATACTTGTTCATGAGTTGTTGTAATATTATGTAAGCCTTTTTCATGTCTTGTTAATGTTTACCATGCATAGAATTATGTTATTGTTTTGTTCATGATGTTTATCAATTCATATATGTTCATACGATCAATCATTGTTATCCATTCCAAGATAGGGGTTTGTTATTGACATTTTTGTCATTTGCATTTGCATTTGCATTTACATCTTTGCATCTTCTCTCTCTCTCTCTCTCTCTCTCTCTCTCTCTCTCTCTCTCTCTCTCTCTCTCACACACACACACACACACACACACACACACACACACACACACACACACACACACACACACACACACATACACACACACATCTTTGCATTTATATATTTTTGTAGGCCTAGAACTTGCCATCCCTTAGAAAGTCTCCCTTAGGATTACCTTCAACTTAGACATTTCAATTAGGGTTTCCCCTTCATAAACTCAAAACCACTTTCATTAAAAAACTTTGACCTTAAGTCATTGATCTTTTCAAACCCTTTTCTTAACAAATGCTTCAATACATTTTAAGCATATTCAAACTCTTTCACAAAGACTAAGACACAAACTTTAATTCAAACCTTTTGCCACTTTGACTTTTCAACTTTAAAATCTTTTCAAAAAAAGACTAGACATGAGTCATCCTTAGTTGAGATATAAATCTCCTATCCTATAACATTGTGAGAAAGATGTTGATTTTTTTTTTCCACTTAAGAGAGGTATGTGGCATACTTGTTGGTTCTATATCCAAGTTTGAGCCCTTCTCTCAATGTGAAGCAAACATTCCTCTTCCACATACTTGTTGTAACACCCGTTCATTTTTAAATTAAACTATTTATGAATTGTTGGTGCGCCTTTATGTGGGAGTGTGGCTGAGAGCGTGGGTGGATGTCCTTAAAGTATAGGAAACCATTTAATAAATCATTGAGTTTGATAATAATATAATATAATTAATAATGATGATAATTTAATAACTAGTAGTAATATATTATTATTATTATTATTATTATTATTATTATTATTAGTGGATGGAATGAGAGATGAAGTTATTAGAGAAGTTGTGGGAGAAAGAGCAAAAGAACGATAAACTGCTTAGAAAACCAAATTGGAGGAGAAAGGCTGAGAAAAGAGGAAAAATGACGTGGCTGTGGAGAAAGGAAGAACAGAAGAATTAACCGCAGGAGAGAATTGA